AAACAGCTCTTTAAAGGCATTTTTGCAACAAATACATTAAACTTTTATGATGTGTTTTCCCAGGATATTGCATTTTACGCTTCAGACGGTTTTCTTTTCATGAATCTGGTCTTTCACATGGTCAGCTTCAATATTTTGCATCTGAACAGCAACAAGAGGTTAAATTCTTTGATAATACTTTACATAAGAAAAATGGGATAAAGGTTTTCAAACTATGTGAACACTTGTGGTGGTGTGCAGCGCTATCACAGATTCTGTTCTTATTCTTCACTTTTAGGATCCTGATGTAAACATTTACATCCTGTGTAAATGCTTTTTATAGACCAACACTATAATATGTGTACACTCTCGAACCACTTTGTTAGGTACACCTGTTAAAGTGTTTTTTAATGCAAATATGTGTCTATCAGCCAATCAAAGGGCAGCAAATCAGTCCATTTAGGCACATAGACATGGTCAAGATGACCTGCTAAAGTTCAAACTGAGCATCAGAATGATGATTGAAGTTACTTTGCCAGTCCTTTAGTATTTCAATTGTCCACACAACCATTTCCAGGGTTTACAAATATACAGCAGCAGCAAATCTTTGCCTGGTAATTAAACATCAAAACATCGGAGTCTGGCTTTTCTAATGTGAACATTAATTCAGGTTATGAAACAAACTGATTAAAATAGAGGAAAGCCAATATCATCACTAGTATATTTCAACCTAGTACTTACTGATGGATTATAATCCTAATAATGAGTTATTGTTGTTATGTTTCCCCCTTTTATTTCAAGTTTTCGAGACCTCACATCTCTCCTGTCTTGTTTAAATGATCTGAAAGTGGTTCAACATGGCTCCACGTGGTCTGCTGTTAATCCAAGTGTGCTGCCTTTGGGCAACATATGAGCCGAGGAAGCAGAAGAGCTAAAGTCTTTATCAGATAGTTTCACAGAAGATAATAAACAGTCGAGCCTTGAACTATACTGGCCAAGTGTGCCCTGCATGTAGCCACTGAGAGATGTTTAAGTATTTATTGACTTAGCCAGCTTCTCTACTGCACATCGCAGGGCTTTGACAAGGTTTCCACTCTTCTGTATTTGTGATTTCAGTGGGTCTCTGGCCTCAGGACCACAGTGATGAAAGATATCTCTAACTATATCAGGTGATCTGGCAAAGCAAGCTTGTGTGTCTCAGCACATAGCTCAGCAGTCCCTGCACCAATGTTAAGAGTTATTCGGTGGATCTTTATAAAACGCTGCCCATCACTCAGGCAGTCAGGTATGAGTACGTTTACAAAGAAGGGTCAAGAAGTCTCAACCACACTAAAATGTTTCAGTACTTACACGAAAGAAAGAGAGGTTTGTGAATAATGTTGAACACATGCTTGAGAAATGTTAACGTCATATTAGGCTGGCTTAAATCATCAGCATGACCAGATTGTTCAGATTGTTTATCCACCGTGTGCTAAAATATTACATAAATGTTTATGTGGACACAGGGGGACCACATCCCAACAAAGTAAATGTGAGGCACATAGACTATGACTGTGTGCTACAATGCGGGGTGTCCTGCTGAAAAGGTGGTCTAAAAAATCAGAAATATCTCACAAACTGCAGGCTAGAAGTTTGGCGTCCAGCATGTGAAAGACAAATCTACTTGGTTTAACTCGCTCGCTAAAGCATTCCAATAAGCATACGCCAAAGTCTATTTTTATCATGTTATCTGCTATTATTGTTATCTAGCGTCTGTGCGGTCTGGTAACACTCTTTGAGTTTCAGCGGGCTTACGTCACTACGACTCTTTTTTTTTTTTTTTTTGAAACGATGATTTATTGATTTTGTCAGAACAACACGAACAGCAACAAGTCAGCACAGCCAAGCACAAAAAAAAAAAAAAAAAAAAGCAAATGCAGGTATATGAGTTACCAGTACACACGCCTGGGACAAAATATGTAAAGCGTTTCACATTCGAAGTCAAGGGAAACAATAAAAAAAAAAAAAAAAAAAAAAAAAGGGGGGAAAACACAGACATTAATCAGTGTGTTTAAAAACAAACTGCGAGTCCCCTTTATGTAATAGCACAGTAAGGTCATGAGGTAGGTGATCAAGCAGAGGCTGCCATATGCTACAGAATGCGTTACAATTGCCCTTTATGATGGCACTGAGGCGCTCCATCGGCAGCACCCTGAGCAGTTCTCTGTACCACTGTGTAACAGTAGGGGGCCGTCTCTGAATCCATTGGAACAGTACACATCGCCTCGCCAAATGTAAAAGTTTACTTAACAAAAGCATCTGTACAGAAGACAGAGAGAGCCCTTCTATAGATAGACCCAGAACGAACAGCATAGGGTTCAGTGGGATCGTTCGGTGGAAAATAGAGCAAAGCTCTATAGCAATATTCTTCCAAAATCTAGTAATTAAAGGACATTGCCATATGCAGTGGTAATAGGTCCCTACAGCCGTATTGCACTTCACACAAAGAGCAGAAATCTGAGGGTGAATTTTATTTAGGAACTCCGGCGTACGCTGTAGTCTATGTAAGATTCTGTACTGGCTTTCCTTTAGTCTGTTACAGGGAAACAATTTCATGGCAGATCTGAAAGTTTTGGACCATGCTTCCGCACCAACCTGAGCTTCAGGTCGGTTTCCCACCGAACCCTGGCCTTATCAGTGGTTATAAAGTTCAAAGACAACAATTTCCCATAACAAAGAGAAATAAATTTCTTTTTGTAGTCATTTCCTCGTTAACTTTGAGAAGAAAGCTTTCAACAGGGTTCAAAACTGGTTGATTGGCTGGAAATTTAAGGGAGTTCACATAATGCCTTACTTGCAGGAATCCAAAGAAGTGTTTCTGTGGTAAATTATACTTAACTTGAACTTGATTAAAGGCCATAAAACTACCCCTTTCGAACAGATCACAAATAAATCTTATACCTTTAGAATACCAATCATCAAATATATTAATGCCAATACCCGGGGGAAAGCTTTATTCCTAGTTAGAGGCTGCAGTGCACTAGAGAAACCTCTTCTTCCGACGTGGGCAGTAATATTACGCCAAACCTTTAAAGTGGGCATCAAGACGGAATTAGTTCTGACACCAAGAGGGAGGTCCGCCAGGTCAGTGGATAAGAGACTAAGAGGTGAGAGAGGGTCACAGCACCAGGCATCTACCGATGGTTCGCCCCGGTGAAGGAAGGAATGTAACCACCCTGAGATTATTTGTGCATGGCAAGCCCAGTAGTAATATAAAAAGTTAGGCAGTGCCTGACCCCCCTCATCCGTGGGCAGTTGTAAAATCTGTATCTTTAGTCTAGATTTCTTCCCACGCCATATGAATTTAGAAAGACATCCCTCAATCTCTATGAATGTTTTTCTGTTGATCCTGAGAGGCAACATTTGAATGGGGTATAATATTCTGGGTAGCACATTCATCTTGATTAAACTTATTCTACCCGTCCAAGACAGGGGGAGGTCAAACCACCTATTGAGGTCATTCTTGATTGAGGCCACAATCGGCTTGAAGTTCAACTTGTACAACTCCGCTGTGTCTGCGGACACCCTGATACCTAAATATGTGAAACCTGTGGTCGACCACCTGAAAGGGAAATTAGGAGGAGCGTCCCACCTCCCCCGTCACCCAGTGGCAAAGCTTCAGATTTATCATAATTTATCTTATACCCTGAGAAGAGGCCAAATTGGTTGATGATATGTGTCAGTGCAGGAATAGAAGTTTCTGGCTTAGTGAGAAGAGCAACACGTCATCTGCATAAAGGGAAATCCTGTATTCAGTATTCGACAAGGTCACCCCACAGATCTCAGGATCAGTTCTTATAGCCTCTGCCAGTGGCTCCAAAGCAAGTGCAAACAACAGGGGAGAGAGGGGGCATCCTTGCCGCGTTCCCCTACCCAGTGGGAAGACATCCGAGACCGAGCCATTAACCAAGACCCTTGCAGCTGGGGCCCCATACAGCAGTTTGACCCACTTGACAAATTCAGATCCCAAACCAAACCTGTCCAAAACATCAAATAGATACTCCCACTCCACCCGATCAAATGCTTTCTCAGCATCCAAAGAGATCGCAAGAGCCCTATAATTGGTGTTCTGAGAGAACTGCGCAACATTTATGAGTCGGTGGACATTGGAGCGGGAGTATCTATCCTTGACGAATCCCGTCTGGTCAGGCTTTATCAGAACCGGCAGAACCTCCTCCAAACGTCTGGATAAAATTTTGGACAGAATCTTACAATCCACACTAAGTAGACTTATAGGTCTGTAGGATGTACACAGATCCGCGGGTTTATCCTTCTTTAAGATCAGGGATATATGGGCAAGGTTTAGGGTGGGTGGAAGCACGCCCTCTCAAGAGATTCTGTATACATTCCCAACAAAGGACCTGCCACATGTTTGGCCATTTTTTTATAAAACTCTGGCCCAAACCCATCAGGGCCCGGAGCCTTCCCACTCTGTAAGGATTTAATTGCATCCAAGACCTCCTGCACCCTGATAGGGCTGCATAGATCCAATCGACTTTCCTCTGACAGTATAGGGAGGTTAACAGTGTCAAGAAACAGTTTCCTGGCGTCTACAGTATTTTGACACTCAGGGGAATATAAGTCTTGATAGAACTCTTTCATTATTTTGCTGATAAGTTTAGCCTCAAACTGTAAGACACCTGCCTTATCTTTAGAGAGGGTATTGCATAAGAGCC